GATTGCAGGCAGATAAAAAGCCACCAACGTTCAAAGAAATGTTGGGCTGGAGCAAATAACTTGGCTTTGTGGGAAATAAAGTTGAGCCTTGAAGCCAGAGTAGAATCTGGCACAAGAGCAAAGACAGTGTTGGGGAAGACACTCCAGGAAGAAATGAAAAGAGATTTCTTTAGGGTGATTATTTATCAAAAACCCACTCTGTTTCCACTCCTGCTAAAGGTGGACAGAGCGTGGACATTAAAACTAGCCCACCACTAACTAGCCCACAAGCCGGGCTCTGCTCTCCCACTGTTGAAGCGAGGAACAGAGAGCCTGCAGGAGGCAGCAATTTGTCCAAGGACACAGAATTGATAAAGCATGTGAACCTAGCTTCCACGTGTCTTTCATTACAGCCTGGCTTCAGCGCTGACTGAGCTGTTTCCTAACATCTCAGGTAAAGCTCTATGGTGTGGCAAACCTTTGCCGTTCCTAGGATGCTATTCACATTTTAAAATTCACTTTCTTCTATGATTTTTTTATTTTGCCCTGGGGGATAAAGCTGTAGGATCTGTAAGTTGTTACTTGTTCCACATCTTTTGGAACCATCACTAAGAGGACAAGATTACACCAACAGATTACCAACTGGCAACTGATCGATTCCATCCATCACTTCAGAACGTGCTCAACAGCCCGGAGCAGATCCAGCAGCCATCTGAGAAAGGTCAGCGGGGCCCCACCAAGAAATGCTCTATAAAGACAAAGCCAGATTCGTGTGGAAAATGTTAAATGCACTCCATGCTGGACAACCCAGAAACTGCCTGCAGGGAATGGTGAGCCGTCATCCAAGAAGTCTCGCTGAATTATTCAGAGGCTGTCTCAAGGCCACACTTGGATTGGCCAGGCTCTCCAACACCTGCCAAGGGAAGGGCGGCTTTCAACCCACAAGGCTTGTTTCTAAACACAAACATGTATGCACACAGGGGGGAAAGGCCACTTCCACTTTACTTCTGAGGTTAACCATGTGCCAACCCTTAGGTAAGAGGAAAAGGTCGCTTGTTTCCTAGGGTCATCACTGACAAAGTCTAAAGTAACCCTTCTTTTACCTTATATCTCATTTTCCCCCCAGCCCCAATAAAGATGTGTTTCTTTGTTTTTTACAAGGTCATTAATCAGAAATAATGTTGATATAAAGTCCCTTCATCATTAAACAAGAAAATTAGCTCTCCCTTCTATATATTAAGAATTTTTTTTTTTTTGGTGGTGGTGTTGAGGTTCGAGACAGGATTTTTCCATGTAGTTTTGGTGCCTGTCCTGGATCTTGGTCTGTAGACCAGGCTGGCCTCGAACTCACAGAGATCCACCTGGCTCTGCCTCCCGAGTACTGGGATTAAAGCCATGCGCCACCTGGCTAAAAAATCTTTTAATGAGAACCTACTTCTAAAATGTGAATTCCTACAATAGTTTCAATTCTTGTTTTGTATTTAGAGACCATTTGTGGTCATCAAGACACTCCAGCTAAAAAGCTACTGTACATGAATGTCCAGGATGGCAGGCCTGGGATTCCCTAAAAGCCACCTGTCCTCTAGCCTCCAGAAGAAGTGGCCATCACCTGAGCTACCTGCGGAAACGATGTACAAAGACGTTTCCTTTGAGAGCTATGTAGTACCTCTTAACATGAACTTCTGTAAAATAAAAAGGCATAGCATCAATGATAACTGTGTCCAGAACTGAAGATTTGTGTTGAAGCCCAGTTTGATCTGGAGACTCCTCATTCAGGGGGCCGATGAAGGACATTTTTTACTCTATGTGGACCCACATATATGAGTCCTACATTAATTCCACTCTCCTTTTATTGTCATAGAACACTAAGGTTTGCCAGTATGTGGAAACTTCCTGGGAGGTGAGTCCTGTTAATAGTCTACCCTAACAGCCACAGGCAGCCTCCTGCCCTCTCTATAGTGGTCCTGACTTGACTCTCACACCTGACCCAGCTCAGTAGAACTGGCAAGTGTACAAAAGTTCGACTAAAGAAAACAAGTATTAAAAAATATGACTCGGGGGGTTGGGGGGAAGGTGAGGGGGACAGGAGGGGGGAGAACAAGGGAATCCGTGGCTGATATGTAGAACTGAATTGTATTGCAAAATAAATTAAAATAAATTTAAAAAAATTTCAAAAAAATAAAAATAAAAATAAAAAATATGACTCAACGTTTACCTTCTTGGGAGGAGGGGGCAGCAAAGAGGGATGGAAACTTCTAACATATTCCAAAAACAGAGATGTTGATGGTCTTAGAGTAACTGAACAGCCATCCCTGGAGTATTCCTAGGCTACATGAGAAAAGCATTGCGCTCATCCCAGATGCAAGGAGGCATTTACCTTGCTGCAACACCCCATCTGCCTGTGAAAATGAATCCGCCCTCCACAGTCCAACATTCACTTATCTAGGATTTTCAACTTCACAAAACAAAACTGTGAGTTAGAGGAAAAATGATCTGCAACCAAGTTTTTAAATATAGTCTTCATGACTATTCCAGGCAACTTGAATGTAAATTAAATGTTGGGAGAGTATTATCACAAGATTAGGTGCTGTGCCCTGAATATATACAACCTTCTGCTCACTTTCAGAACAGTGAGTTCTCAAACAGTACAGCCCACTTCTGCCAAATACCCTTGCCAACTTTGATATGATACTGATTTTCTTTACGAAGGGCCCAACTTCACTGTACACTTAGCCAAGGGTACACAGTCTCTTGCTCTTGAATCCATAGCTACCTGGGATGACTCTTCATTTGCTGCAAGAAACAACAAAGTGTGAAGATGGTCCTCGTCCTGGATTCTGCCATGCACTTCTTGACTATGGACACTCTAGTCCATCACAGAGTGAAGCCTCAGGCATGGGTACCCACACTCTAGCTCCCCACGCCCATTCCTCACTGTAGTAGTTCCAGGGGGTGTCCCCGGACCAGCCAGACCAGCAGTAGTAGTGCTTGGGAATTTACTAGACGAGCACATTCTTGGGTCTCAGCCCAGGACCTACTGAATCAGAACACTCACAGATGGAGTCTCATTCCCAGGAGGCAAATGCCCTTCCATTTGAGGGCAGTCACCATGGCAGCTAGCAAACGTATTTGCACCCTTAGAGCCTGCAGGTGGCGCTAAAGGCCATCTGGACGAGCAGAGGACTAGCAGCTCACGTTTTTTTAAGTTTCAAAACCCTAAGCCCTAACACTGACCACACTGTACTATCAGCCTAAAGAGTTAAAAGGTAAGAGGACACATCAGCTTTCAACAGAAACCAGGCTGTAATGCTTCTCACCATCACCCCGAGAGATCTAGTACACCTATCGTGTTGAGGGATGCATTCAATACTTTTGCGTTTGATGTGACTATGACACACTTTAAGAATGAAACAGTCACCAAAAGACTCAAATTATGACCAGCTACTGTGTGTATCTACATAGTATCAACATACTTGACTGCAAAAGAAAGAGGCCTCTACTCTGAAAATCAAATTAAATAAGGTATCCAGCTAGCCCTCTGATGGACCACCAAAACCATGAATTCTCACCAGCTGCTTTACCATCCAAACACTTGTAAGGAGGGTATGGCTTAACTGGAACTCTTCATGGGCAGCTGGAGTCAGTATGAATCAGTAACAACCACTTCAGAAAACCATTTTGCAGTACTAAAACTAAGCCCACAAACAAGCACCTAAGAACAGCTACCACTCCAGGGTAGAGACACTCTAAATATATGAGTGTCGGTGTCCACCAACAGCCTCAAAAGAATATTCTCAGAAGTGGAACTCCAAACAGCTGCAAACCAGAAACACCTAATATCCATCCTCAGTAGGGCAGTATTGATATGCATACAATGAACTAGAAGAAGCAATTAGAAAAAAAAACCCAAAAAATCCTACAAAAACAAAAACACAGCCAACAAAACCCATGGTACATACAACATGGATGGATCTGGCGGAAATGATACACAGGGAAGGAAGACAAAGGGCACAGGGGTCCCAACAGGCACAACTAATTTGATGACAGGACACCCGGGTTCTCTAGAAGAGGCTATAGCCTCTAGCTGGAAAAGCCACTCAACTCGATCTGCAGCATGCCGTGTTGAGTTGGGTGAGCTGCATACTCAAAATCCATACACTTGACTATTTAACCCTTACAAAGGAGAGACGCTATAAATGCAAAAGATGTATGTGTCTGGTTGTTATGCCAAGAGGTAAAAATCTTTATCACCGGGTATCTGTACCTTGGTGAAGTATATTTGCTGTAAAAATGCTCTGCGTTTGCTGAGCCAAAACTCAAAATTAAAGTGACTAGGGAGTTTTCCTCTTCTCCCACGATGTAACAACAAATGTAACGCCTATAAAATGGCAGACTGTTTCCAGCTTGCATTCCCAGCCCAAATTTATTTCATGTGACTTTTAATAGGTCCCTCCTCATGTAGCACCGACTGTCCACTGTACCAGGCCCCCACACGTCCTGATAACTGATCACTATCTAGAGGGATACCGAAGGGCCCGGTTCTGGGGTTTTGGCTGTCATTGTGAACTGGAATTGCTTTAAACCACGCTCGGTTTAACCCCACGCCACTTCCCTAAAGCCTGGCCACCGAGGCCTGTCCAGAGCCGCAGAGCCTCAGAGCCGCTAAGCATGGGACAACCGGATCTCTGGTTTTGGATCCAGCAAGATTCTAGACGTTGAGCTGTAAACATCCAGTAACTCCCGGAGGCAGCGGAGTCCCGGAACCACCGCCGCCCTCCGCAGGCTGGGTGGTTATACCGGCAAAAACACACCCACCAGGGAACCCGCACGTTCTCTCCCCACACTTCCGGGTTTGAAGCTCCCGCGCGGAGTGGCACGTGACCAAGGATGCGCTGCAAAGTGTAGGGCACCGAATCCGGGCCCGCGCTCGCCAGGGCCTCGCGGACGGGTGCTGACCCGGGCTAAAGCCTCGTGCCGCCGCCACCCTGAGCGCTCCCGGCCCACGCGCCGCCCGCGTTTACCTGGAAGTAGGAACACGAGCTGCCGAGCAGCCAAGTCCCCGCGGTCTCGGCCCGCGGCCATGTCTCACGCCGCCGGAAGTGGCTCCGAGGGCCCCACCAGCGCCGGGCCACCAGAGTGCCTCTGTTTCCGGGCCCGCCCGCTCGGCTTCCTCTTTGAATTCTGCGCGGGTGCTGGTGTCACAGGAGGTTTGGAGCCCTGCAGCTCTCACACCCTTTGCCTGCAGGGGTTGCTTGGATGTGTATTTCACACATGGAGGTTCCTAATGCTTGCGAGCAGTCTTCAAATTGGATTTGGGACAATTTGATGATTAAGATAATTCTTTAAGATAAAACCCAAAATATGTGTATAACGTGGAGTTCAACACATGAATTTGTTATTCAGGATAAACTTTTATATTAGTTACAAGACTTAGTTTTGGTTTGGTTTGGATTTGACACTGAGTCTCACCAAAAGGCAGAGACTGGCCTTGAAACTATGTAACCCTGGATAGCATTGAATTCTGGATCAGGGAATCTCCCAAGTGCCGGAATGACAATAGAAAAAGCAATTCAGCCCTGACTCGGGAGATGAAAAGAGGATTCATCTCTCAAAGAGCCAGTTACCTAGCAGGGACAGTAGCTTGTCCTGAACTCTTCTTTCTGGGCAGACTATGCCCTTTATGTTCTTTCTTATCCAAACTAATAGCATTTTTTTTTTTTTTTTTTTTTTTTTGAGAGCAGTCTGACACACAGGCAACACAAACGTGGAGGTCTGAGTTACAGATATGGCTGAAGCTTTTGAGAAAGGACATAGAACAGCTGGTGACACCACAAGTTGGTCTGGATCTCAAGACAAATGCTGACATTCTCCCATCAGACACGAACCACTTAAAAATACCCACCTCTAACCAGACTAATCTAAGACCATGAGAAAAAATAGGACCAAGCAGGAACATTGCATGATTTGGTCAGATAAAAGCAAAGTCAGCGTGCCATTTGTGCAGCGCTAAAACTCGAGCAGTTGGCCACCTGAGAACTGCTGTTGCTTTACCCACTACAGCTCTACTGCATGTGCCAGTCTCCCCTAGCTGTGGATAAGAGTCACAGGGCAGGATAAAAAGACAGAAGAGGACACTGGAGGGAAAGGGGGCCCCCCTGGGACCTGCTTTACTTTCTGTGCTGGCTTAGAATAAAGAATTTTGACACCACTGGACCATCAAGGTGGCTGGATAGGCAAAGGTGTTAAAGAATTAATATGCCTTCCTAGGGAGAAATCACTGCACACAGAGAGTTAATAAGGGAAAGGGTATTTAATAATATTGTGTGTCTGTCTCTGGCTAATGCTCAAAGAGGAGCTGGCTTCGAATAGAAGATGTTGCTAACTTATATGCACCTTAGGCTTATGCATTTCATATCTCTCTCAGGTCCTGGCCCCAGGTTACACTGAACAGTTGAAACAGTAACAGGAGACTGCAAGTTTTGTTGCTTGGGCAGATGAGAGATTTACACAGCAAGGACAGTGCCAGAATTATTTAAGTACAACAGTGTTGTTCTTGCCCACGTGGCAGAACTATGCTTTTCCTGATAAGAGCACAGAGAACCTCATGGCAGACCAGGACTTAATGATGGTTGTGATTTTGCTGTTCCCTTGAGCTTCCCTTCAGAGGCATGGTCTTTGATATGGGATAGGCCTTATGGCTGGTTGTAAGCCTAGATTGTCTCCTTTTGTTATGGGAATGGAGCCTAATTGGAAATGAACTTGATGAGCAAGCATTAGCAGAAACTCTCTCAGCAATCCTCAACTTCAACTGTGCTGCAGAACTTTCTTTCCTACGGTTTCTAACAATCCCGGTTAGTACACTACTTATCTCCCAGTCATATCAGAGGCAGCACTCCTTTAACTAAATTCTACTTGTGGAGCTTAGTATTTCCTGGGCAAGTGTGTTAGTTAGCACTTTATAGCATCAGTTACTTAGAGTTTCTCCTGAGTTCAACATCAGAAGCCAAATGATGGAACGAGAGTGAACTGACTCCTGAGGGTTGTCCCTGACCTCCAGATGTGCTGTGGCACAGGCATGTGCGAACAATGAGCACATTTTCCAGGAATGCGAGTGTGTTAGCCAGTGTTTTGCTCTATAGCAAAACTAATAAATGTCATTAAGTGACAATGGTGACAGTTCTGCAGGACAACAGTCAGTGTCGTGTTTGAGTGTTCTGTGATTTATACCAGATGATTAAACACCCACATCCCTGAAAACATAATCTTCTTCACTGGGTCATCAGATACCTCTAATACAATTTAACTAGTTAAGAGGATTTTTTAACACATGATTGTGGTGTGGTGTGTGTGTGTGTGTGTGTGTGTGTGTGTGTGTGTGTGTACATGTGTGAGTACATGTGTGTACAAATGTGCATGCACATATATGTGTTTACGTGTAGAGACCCAATGTTCGCATTAGATGTATTCCTCAGTTGCTCTGTACTTTATTTTCTTGGTAAGGTCTGACTGAACCCAAGACTCACTGATGCCAGCTAATCTAGCAAGCGAGCTTGCTCTGAGGGCCCCTCTCTCTGCCTTCAAAGTTCTGGCTATACCAGTGGCTGCTGTGAATGCCCAGTTTTCTGGCAATCAGAACTATGCTCCTTGTGTTTATATGATAAACAATTTATCCACTGTGCCATCTCCCAGATAAGGATTATTCTTTCTCTTTAAAGTTTTGTTTATTAATTTTATGTATATGAGTGTTCTATCTGCATGTATACCTTTATATCAGAAGAGGGCATCAAATCCCACCACAGATGACTATGAGCCACCATGTGGGTACTGGGAATTGAATCTGGGTCTTCTGGAAGAGCAGCCAGTGCTCTTAACTGCTGAGCCATCTCTCCAGCTCCATGGGGTTATTCTTTAAATGCTTGTAATTTCTCTAAGTATAATCACGAAGCATGATTTTTAAAATGTCCTTGTCAAATTTCTAGCCAAAGCAAATAAGCCTGGCTTATTTCTTATAACAATTGTATCAGAGGTGAATAATTTGTTATAAGTGAAACATATGTTGTTTTGGAGTTGGGAAGATTTTTAAAGAATATAATATTCAAATTGTGAAAGGATTGCCCCTGTATTTATGACCATAATATTAGTCACTAAACTTTGGCAGTGACTAAGTTGTCTAAAAAATAACTAGAGAAGGCTGAAGAGATGGATCCGTTGGTAAAGTGCTTGCCATGCAAGCTTGGGGATCTGAATCTGGTCCCCAGAATAAATGGAAAAGCAGAGTGCGCTGCTGGTATCTGTAATCCCAGTGCTGAGGGTGGAGCCAAGACAGGAGGATCTCTGGGACTTGCTCCCAGACAGTCAGGCCAAACTGGTGAGCTCCAGGTTCATAAAGAGACCCTGTCTTAAAAGCTCTGGTAGAGAAGAAGTAAGAAAGACTCCTGATATTGATTGACCTTTGGACCCCGCATGTGGACATGTATACATACGCATACCCATGCTCATCCATCACACACACACATACACACACACACACACACACACACACACACACACACACACACACACACACGAAGAGAGAGAGAGAACAAAAATATGGAACTTGTGGACAGAAACTCCTGTGTACATGTTTCTGTTTTAAACTATCAGGAGATTCCAAAAAGCATGAGCAAGCTTGAGAGTTGAGCATTATGCTAAACCTTACTGTTGAATATATGTTCAAAATGCTTAGCCTGTTAAGTACAGGCTTGCAGACGGGAAGAGTGGCATAAGCTTGGGAATAAAAGAAAAAAACATTAATTTCAGGTTTCATATAATTCTAACTTTGCAAAATTTTGCACAGGCTAAGACACAGCTCCAAGAGGGAGTAGATGTCTAGCTAGTCCTCACTGAATTCTTGTGAAAGCTTTGTTCATGTGCTGTTTATATGACATCACTCTAGGTGAAGTTGTTTCTTTGCAAAATTATTTTTGACATCAGATGTGTATTCTATGATCCAATGTAAAGATGACATTCATATAGTAACTGTAACAGGCTCCAGACCTTAGTTGACCCTGAGACCTTAGCACAATTGCCTTCATGATGGAAGTACTATTCACGCTGTAAAACTCAGCCCATAGACAGCACCACCTGGCAAAATGAAAACAAAGACCTAATCTGTCCAAGTCAATATAGTCTGGTAAAGTCACTATATGTACTAGCCTTGCCTTTTGGCTTCTGTAGTTCTACTTCTTACTGACTGTTCTTACTAAAGAGGCATGTCAAGCCAGGATATAGTTTTGTTCTTAAAAGCTCACCCTGAGAAAGGCTCAGTGCTATGGATCCCGAACACCCAGAGTAGTTGTTGGTTGGTATAAAGACTTTTGAATGGTTTAAGTGTCAGAGTAGATACCTCTCAATAGTAACCACACACAATAGGAATACAATTTCTACCACTTTCTCTAGCCAGCAGCTGCTTCATATATGCCCTGTATAGCATATGTGCCCTGTATAGTAGTTGATACAAATTTAACATTTTTATACTGTATTATATGTTTTAATTTCTTGTTTAAGGCATTGTACCTATGCAGCTCATTTTAAAATGTAATGTAAGGTTTTAGTCCTTGAAAGCTATTTAGGATAATAAATAAATACAGTTTAATAGTCATCTATAACAATCAAACTTATAGTCATGGTAGGTATGTTTTCAAGGTCACATGGAGTTATATTTTAGGTAGATAGGTAATCTTCGAACACTTTAAAGATTTACAGACTATGGCATTTAAAGTGTTATAATAACATAAGGTTTTTCATGACAGTGAGACATGCCTGCTCCTGGCAGCACCAATCAATTTTATAAAAGTATGATGGGCAGGAAGAACCTCCATATGGAGTTTGCTTTTTTTGTAGCAAAAGCTAGCCATTTGGACAAGAAACTGCCCTTACCTTATCTGCTGACAGTATACTGTCCAAACTGGACAAACAGGACATGCAGAAAGGTGATTGCTGAACTTTACCAAGACAAGGTAGGACAGTCCTTCAAAATTTCTGCTTTACAGAAAAATCTGTCAGATTTTCTAGGCATGTAGGCTGAAGATGGATGCCCCAACATTGCAGAGGAACCTTGGGTTGACTGTCCAGGCAGCCAGATGTC